CCTTTCAACAGGCTTTAGTCCATGTTCTCTGGAGCAGAAAGATGTCTGTGCTGGGGAATGGACCAAAAGGAGGTCCTGATCTCAGGGCTGTGATCTTATTGGTATCACAGAGACTTGGTGGGATGGTTCCTACAATAGGAGTGTCAGAATGGAGAGTTATAAACTCTTTAGGAAGGACAGGCAGAGGAGATGAGGCCGGATTGTTGCCCACCTCATGAAGTTCAACAAGGCCAAGTGCAAAGTCCTGCACCTGGGTTGGTGCAAACCCAGGCACAAATACAGGCTGGGGGAGAATGGCTGGAGAGCAGTCCTGAGGAAAAGGGATGTCCAGTGAGAAGACAAAGGGCAACAAGTACAAACTGGAGCATACAAGGTTCCACATAAATGTGAGAACAGGCAAGGCTGCCCATTTAACCTTAACTCAATTCCATTATGGACAGAGTCTCTAAGCACAGCTGGACTGCCTAAACATCTCCCTGACCTGGGATTTTTGTCTGAACTGCCCTTTGTGGGCTTTATCACAGGTAGCTCAAGGAGCTCTGCAGACTCCCCACTGCACAGAGGTAGCCCACAAGTCTTTCTCCAAGAGCTCTCCAGGTCTTGTCTTGCAATGGCTTGTTTGAGATAGCACCTTCCTTTTTTTTCTAGCTCATGTTACCCAGAGGGGTATTTAATTGTTTCTACCATTTAGCTAGCTGAAGTGTGCTTAGAGATTACAGGTCTGATTGACAGCAGCTATTAACACTCCCTATCAGAGCTATGTAGAGAGGTATAAAATGCTAATCAAAGCCTAAACTGGATGTGTGAAACAGGGCAATCTGGGATATCCTGCCCCAGCATCTCCTTGTCTCCAAATCTCTGAGTATTCAACATTGTCCCTTCACAGGGGGATTTTGATCTATCTCAAACCACCCTAATTGGCTTCTTCCAGATTATGCACCAGTCATCTGCCATGAACCAGTACTGTGCACAGCTGCTCCTCTACTTCTATGGATCAATCATTTTCCTTTCTCTTCTTGATCTATATTGGAGCTAAATCGCCTCCATTTGCAGGAGAGCAAGTTAATTGCTTTTAGGCTGACAGCCCAAGACAGCAAATATCACCCTCTGCTATCAGTTCCTGACTCTTGGGCTAATGCAAATTGACTTTTCCTTCCCAGCCCTTCCTCCAGGTAATTCAGCTTCTCTGAAGATGCAGTTGCTTGGGTTCAAACCTCTCCTTGTTGAAATACCCACTCAAAGTCATATTTCTTGAAGAAGTGGCAGAAGATGCTTTGGATCTTCTCCAGCCTGTAAGTGTCCTCCTTCTAACCCCAGTCTAGAATAAATCATGCTGTACACTTGCCACAACCTGAGTCCTCATGCTAAGAACATGGTGCATAGAAATCAATCCTGTGCTTCCAGATGTGTCTGCTGAACCTACCTGATTATCTGAACCCAAACTGTTAGGACCACAAACACCTACGGTTTTTAGAGAGTCATGTCATTCTATAAACAGCCAAACAGCTAAACAGTCTGGGGTGCTTTGGCTTTGATTTCCACATCCACACATTAAATAGTAGTAACTAGCTCCATCTTCCCTGCCCCTTCTCCACCTTCCAAGCAAGGCCAGCCTTCCAGCATGGATTTCAGGGAAGCGAGACCTATGTCCAACTTCTTGAGGTGGAACTACAATGAGAAATGCAGAGCCAGAATTGACCAGAGGAACTTCCATCACCTTTTGGCTGTTAGGGAAGGCTTTCAAGGGAAAGGAGATTTCTTATTTGAGCCACAGGTCAACATAACACATGGCATTCAAATAAGTCAAAAGTAAATATTTTCATGTATGATACATACAATTTAATGAGAGCTCTGATAGGCTCTGCATTTCAGTACAGCTAAACAGGAGGGAATTAGTTTAGACCTCTAGTGCTTGGCTGCAAAAACCTGCCAACTTTTCCATTAAGGAGGAAAAGTCTCCATAATGGGCAAATTACATTAATTTTCCAAAGCTACTCTTTGGGAAAAATTTTTTTAAAAAAGGAAATTCCACTTATGGATAAATTAAAACAATGTGTCTTTTTCTTTCTAAACATCCCTATTTATACTACTAGCAGGTGACTGATCTGCTGGGAAACATCAGAGGAGCACAGGACAGCTTTCAGTCACAGATCAGACATTGCAATAGGGTCAGTGCCAGAAACAGTTAAGTAAGTTATTTCTAATGACCACATAGTGACTTGATTTAGAACTTATGTCTTTTTTAGGTTTCAGAACTAACTTCTGGCAGCAACAAATAGGCAAATGATCACCACCTAAGATACAAAAGAGACTGTCAAAGCTGCCTCCTTACCTCCTGCAGAAACTTCTCGCTCATCGGACCAAAAGGATGTCCTGGGGGCCTAATTCCTGACACCACCAGTCCAGAACTGAAGAGTCTTGGCTTCTGGAGGTCAGGTTTAAACTTGTCGTACAAGATGTTGGGAGGCTTCACCTCTCCTCCATTGCATGTCTTCTGCTCTGTAGGGATGGGCATGCCACAGGCAGGGCTACCAAAGGGAAGCCCTGTTGGCGCAAATGAGGGGTCAAGCTGCTCAATTGAATGAGGCTTTCTTCTAATGTATGTGATGATTTTAGGTCTCACAGGTTTGGGCCTGGGTATGGCAGGTTTCATCTCACCGCTTTCTTCCGGTTTTTCACTGCAGTCACTGTCCACATCCACCTTGTCAGTGAGGGAGCCCTTGGAGTTGACAAGGATAGGTTTGGGGATGGCACTGCTGCAAGCAGTCTTGATAGGCACTTTAGGGGATATGCTTAACAACTGCGTGCTGTCAATGGGAGGTAGGACTGAGGAGGGTGACAATTTGTCAACATGAAGTGCACAAAGGTCCTTCAAATTACTGTTTGATAGCGTGGTCTGACTATTAACATCCAGCATTGCCACCGGGCGCAGGGGAGTTGGAGCACATAAAAAGGCATCAGCCTGTGCTGAATCCTTACAGCTCTCTGGTTCTTCATCTGGAGGATGTTTCTGTGCATTGCTTGTCTTTTTACTTGGAACTGAAAAGCTTGAAGTTTCTGCATCACTGTCATGTTTGTCAGGTTGTTGGTTTGACACTGTCTCTGCACTGTGTGCTCCATGCTGATCTGAGAGATCAGAAGCAGGCAGAGCAGCATCCTCAGTGCTTCCTTTGACTAGCATCAGTTTATTCTCATTAACTTTTAAGGGTTTGCTGTCAGGTAGATTAATGTTGTGTATAAAAGATAGCTGTTCACCAACTGTTTCAGCAAAATCTGCATCAACTTCATGTACATTTTCATTTTTCCTAGGTGTCACTTTGCCACTAAATGTACTGCTACTAGTGAGTGAGAATATTGTTTCCACTTCTTTGTCAGTAAAATATTCCTCGCCAGTCTGGTTAGTTGCCTTGTCACTGTCATTGTTTCTTTCCCCTTCCCCACTGATGGTGACATTATCATTTAGGAATTTGTCATCAGGATAGGATACCACTTGGCTTGATGATGGATCCTCTACTTTATGACAGGTGTCTTGAAAATGGGAAGTTCGAATTTTCGATGTGTCAGACCCAGAGCCCTTCTGTTCCTGCATCGTTGTATTTGCACCTTTTTGACATCCCAGGAACTCTACCAGCATAATTCTCTCAACCCTTTGTTGACACGTATTTTTAGGTTGTAGAGATGGTGGAGTCTTAAGCTCCAGTTTTTTACTTTTACCACCCTGACCTAATTGTGCTTCTGATTTACTAGCAACCTCGTTGGGCTTAACGGTTGAATGTTGAAAAGGAGAAGCATGCGCTGTGCTTGCCATGTTCGCATTTGGTACATTTTCTGGTTTACTTATTTTCTTGTTCCCTGAGGTAGATGGTTTGGAATAAAAAATGTTATTTTCCTCTGAGGTATTGTCAAGTGGACGAAACACCATCCCAAGAAAATGATCTGTGGATGTTTTTTGTGATTTCTCTGTACTTCCTATCAAATGGTGTGACCTGTCGATGGAGTCCAACGACGCGGAGAGCAGACGTTTACACGACACGCGGCCAACACAGTCTTTTGCAAATGCTTCAGATTGAGGAGAGAATTTACTTGGTCTTCCCAAAGAAAGCCTTTTTATTCTCTCCATCTCCACAGCCCTGGACATTTTACCCTTAGAAAAGTTCTGGGTGAAGTCAACATCACCTTTGGGATAAACCTCCAGGCTGGCATCATTTGTGCTACTTCTTAAATTGGACAAACTTTGTCCTCGGCTAATCTTGATATGCCTTGATAGGTCCTTAGTTTCGCTGGTTCTACAGTCTTTCCTCATTTCTCTGCTTGTGGTGGAGGGCAGCTTACTTTCCTGTAAACCAGTGTGACAGGTCTGAGAGTCCTTGAAGGCCAGTTTATTCTGCTCTGTATTCAGATGAGTAATTTTCTCTGATCGACCAGGGTGAATATTCCCACTCTCATCTGTCAAACCACATTTCTTAACATCCCCTTCAGTGGTTCTAACCTTTGTCACAATTTGGTTGGCATTGGTATCCCCCACACTCACTATGCTTTCATTATTATTTTTTATTTCACTGAGGTTGTCCTGAAGCTGGGCATAACATGGAGCACTCATTTTGAAGCTTCAGGTGACTGCTTTTTTGGCAGTCCTAATTAATGAGAAAGCTTTTCTTTCCCTATTGGGTTAATTATTTTGCATGCTTTGGTTACACATTAAATTATAAACCGATCAGTAGAAAATTCCTCATCAGAAAGCTTGGAGTCTCTTTTCAGAGTCACATTTTTGTGCTGCTGAGTTGTCTTCCATGCAGCCTCTGAATCTAGGAGACCTTTATGACGAGCAGGAGAGACGTTCAAGGAAATCAAAATAGATCTGTCAAGTTCCCTCTGAATGAGATCCAGTTAATCCAGTCAACCTATGAGAAAAAAACGAACAGACAAACAAACACACAAAAAAAACCACCAAAACCCCCCAACAAACAAATAAAACAAAAACAAACAAACAAAACAAAACACAAGAGAAAACATTACACTGATGTCAGAAATCATGCTAACTAAACCTAAGTTAAAAGCAACAGCCTTCCCAGGTACCTCCCCAGGACAGAACACTTTCAAACACTTCAAATGCTTTTTCAGTCATACCTTTGCTCCCACAATGATTCTTATTGTAGATGTTTGACTTGATGATGTCTGACTTGAGAGTTACACAGTTAAAACTGTCCTGGTTAGAAGAGTGGTTGCTACTGTTCGTAAACCATGTAAGATTTACAACTGAAAATAGGTGTAAATAGCTAAGTGAGAATGGGAACTCTCATCGAGGGCCTATGAACTTTAAAATTGCTACAACAATGTCTTTATTACACCAAGTCTGGCTACTAATGCATTTAAAGAACCACTTGTATAGAGAAGCTGTAAGAAGTAAAATTCCAGCTCCGTTAGGGGACTTTCATGGGTTTCTCTCCTTGCTCTGTACAAATCACTGCCATATTTCTGTTGACACCCCATCCCCTTCTGACATTTGTTAGCCAGATCTAAAGATGCCAAGAAAGCAAAAAGTATGGCTGGAGATCTGCAAAGAAATACTGTGGTTTTGTGAGACAGCTGAAGATGTGTATGTTAAAATATAGAGGATTATACACCAGTTGCAATACAGTATAGCTCCTTTTGGCTCCCTCCCATCTATGCCTTTGGGAGCCCAGGTTTTGTCCTCTGTCACCTCCAACAAGATGAGGGGGTAATTTCTGTCCTAAATTCACTCTCTGAGATATTTCTTGTACTCTGAACATTTATACCCTTAATCAGTAAGAAATACGGTCACTGGAAGTTGGAACATGCTCCACAGTCCCCAGAAGTTAGAATTCAAAGCACCTGAAACATTCCCAGCTGTGCTGGGTTTCTCATCCGGGGCTCACAGGGACACTAAATTAGAAGTTCTGATCAAGTTCACTACTCTGTCTATGACATCTGAGTGCAAGCCTGGGCTTCTTTTTCTAACACCCAGTATGAGCAGGTCCTCCCAGCCTTTGCATTCAGTTCAGCTCTGCCTGCAACATCTGGCTCTGAGCTCAATCCAGTTTACTCATATGTCACATGTTGGTTGAGTCTGAATTCAGACTCCTGGCATAGATCCAGCTCAACAGCAAACAATAACTAATAAAATTAATTTATTAAACAGAAAACAGTATTAAGAATTTCACTTCAACACCACAGAATTGTGGTATTATATTTCTCATTTGCAAAGCATTGTAAAGCAAGACTACTTCTACTTCTGTGTTCTGTCCTTATTCCTGAAAGAAAAAAGAAAGAACTGAGTACTTATTAAATTAAATACATGTATTACAGATTTTTTACGTTCATTTCTCGCTGTTCTTTCTTCTCCCCAAAAATGGGAATACTATAATTTACATATTCATTCTCAAAGCTGCACTCTTAAATGCTCTTCACTGGGCAAAGTGTGTCTCTTGTTATCTGTTTGATTAGCTTGGAAGAGGCATTGAGAGGCTCCAAAGAGAGATGAGACCAGTCACCTCATGTTTCTCCCTCTGGTGGCAACTGGTAGCACTCTGTGGTACCAAAAGTGAGGGCCACAAAAAACAATCAAAGGCTGGAACACCTCTGCTATGAAGAAAGGCAAATTTATTCAGAAGTGCTGCTTGAAAAGCTTTAGGGAACTGAGAAAAAGATTGGAGGAACTCATGCTTATCTCTCTTGCAGTACCGTGTACCAAGCGTCACCCTGTGACCCAAAACTTTAATAGATGGTGGTGGGTTAACCATCGTGGTCTGTAGATGTCTATTCACATGCTCTTTCACTCTCCTTTCTCAACAGGTCAGGGGGACAAAATAGGATGAAAAAGCTCATGGGTCAAGATAAAGACAGGAAGATCCCTTACTGAGTACCATCACAGGCAAAACAGACCTGTTTTGATTAAAATAAATTTAATTAATTGCCAATTAAAATACAGTTTGATGGTGAAGAACAAAGACAAAAATTCTAAAATACCTTCCCTTATCCACGCCCTTTTTTCCTAGACTTCAACTTCACTCCCTCATTCGTGACTCCTCTGTCCCACCAGTTGTTCTTTCTCTGGTTTGTGCTCCCAGAGACACTGAGCCTCTGGGTGCTATGGCAGTATACATAAATAAATTAGTAAATTATTATGATGCACATTAAACTCTAAGCACCATATCAGGCTGCACACATTTCAAATGTACAAATAGAGCCACTCTTATATGAGTTTATAACAAAGTCAATTAAGGTATTTAAGATTATAAACATGGTGCTAAGGGGCTGTTGGTTCCTCTTGTTTAGACTGCCCCAAATACGATTAGTAGCACTGCAAATTAAGATTGTTTTTTAAAAAGACATCATGGAAGTATGTGCATTCATTCAAAGCATCTTCACATACAGAGTGTGAACAGGACATGCTGGTACACTTTATAGACCAGACCAAATAATTTAGTTTAATGTTGCTGGTACAAACTTATCAACATGAGGGTCAGGCAGGATCTGTCTGCTCTCAGACACAGGGCACTGCACAACTTCAGTGCGCTGTCAGTTGAGATTAACCTCTTAAAGCAGCCAGTGCTGGCCAGAGGCACGGACTTCAAATGTATGTGTAACTACACTGCTTTTAAGAGAAGACACAATACTGTCTAGGCAGAGATAAATCTCAGGCAGTGTTGGCACCTGTATCAATTAAGACCTTATTAATCTGGTTTTCCCTGTTAAGGAATACAAGCTTTTGCGTTCGGTTCAATCAATGTAAATACAGACCTATATGCTGTGATAGGAGTATTTGAGAGTAAGATGCATGGTTTTGGGACCTTAAAATATTTGTTCTTCTATAGACAGCTCCAATTCAAGAAGTTTTTGCTTGGATTTTCTAGAGGATAGTTTATGTGGCTCTGTCTAGGCGCAACTTCACAATGCTCTTTGGAGTCAGTGAGATGAAAAGACTCAGATGTCTGCATCCTGCTGGTTCTTCCTGTATTTACTATTGCTCACCTTTCTCTACTGATTCTGGCTGACATACACTCACCTAAAGTCACTTCCTGCTGTGCATAGGCTCTGAGAAGACAGAGATGTGAACCTCCTAACTCTTCAGATGCCCTCTTTAGCAGGGGCTAAGAGAAGTCTCAGTCCCAGCAATGACATCACCTCATCATCTAGCAATGTCTCACTGGGGACCCTGAACAAGAAACGTGACTGCAAGACTAGACTCAGTACATGTAAACCTTTATATGGGTAAACATTTCTTGATACTGTATAGTGCAAAAATGTTCCCTCTGAATTGCTGAGAATGGAAAATTAAGTCATAGCTGTCCATGTCACAGCATCTTGGCAGGATGCAATAACTATATTTGTGAAAAAATCCTTACAAAATGACATGAACATGCTAGACAGTAGAATAAAATTATATCCACCAGTCTATGGTTAGCTGTGAATCCCACAGGGAAGACAAAAGTTCAAGGAGCCAAAACCAAAATTAAATGCTTTTGTTTAACTTCAGCAGCATCAATTTCCTTCTGAGATCTTTTAAGAGCCTCTGTTCTAAACTTGAGGCCATACAATGATGCTCAAGGAAAGAAGTCTACAAGAGTTTCTTTCTATCTGCATTTGCATTTCCTCCCCTACGCTCTGCTCCATCCTAAACTGCATTTAGCCAGCTGGTCCCAGTCCACCCTCTGGACACAAAGGAGAAAGTGAAGCTGAGCTGGATTATTTCTGCCCCATGACACACAGCATTGACTGTAGCAGCAGAGCTCAAGTTTGTAAAAAGTAGTTGGGTGGGAAAAGCAAGCAGCAGCCTACTTCTAAATAGTAACTGCAACTTTTTTGTTTTGTTCTGTTTTGTTAAACAAGCAGCATAGAAATACTGTTATCCTCAGCAGGCACTGAATACAAGAAAAATGGTAAAGCATTTCCACATCATTGACTGTTTGTTTTGTTTTCAATTGGCCATAAAAATGGAACAGCAATATGTAAAGGAATTATCAAAACACATGGGAAAAAAATGAAGTGGAGATAAAGAAATAAAATCTGAAATGTGTTGAGCAGGTTGGCTCCTGTATAAACATTTCCTAATGCAGGCTGCCACAGCTGCTTACACATCCTGGTACTGAAAATCTAAACCCAGAATATTTACAGCAAGATACAGTAAAAACATCTGGTTATGCTGGTAACACTGTGCACAGCTTAGGCTGATTGCTCTTCTAGTATAAAGTGTGTGAGAAGCACTTGAATACCTTATGTATTGGGTTTGCATGGATAGATTTTGGGGGGGAGGGGGCTACAGGGGTGGATTATGTGAGAAGCTGCCAGAAGCTTCCCCCATGTCCAACAGAGTCAGTGCCAGCCTGCTCCAAGATGGACCCACCACTGGCCAAGGCCGAGTCTGTCAGCAGTGGTTGCAGCACCTCTGGGATAACACATGTAAGAGAGGCAGAAAAAAACCCTGCACAACTGCAGCCAGAGAGAGGAGCGATAATATGTGAGAGAAACACTCACCAAGGTCAGTGAAGAAGTGGAGGGAGGAGGTGCTCCTGGCACTGGAGCAGAGATTCCCCTGTAGCCCATGGTGAAGACCATAATGAGGCAGGTTGTCTCCCTGCA